ACTGTTGACTGTTCAAATGCAGAGTTTTGCGCATTGTGTGTGTGTGTGTGTGTGTGTGTGTGTGTGCGCGCGCGTGTGAGAGAGAGAGAGAGAGAGAGAGAGAGAGAGAGAGAGAGAGAGACATGGTCACATCACAGTGGAGTCAGCTGTCTTAACCGTGGCTTATGTAATGCAAACACATACCAGCTTCATCACTGTGAGTGTCACGCGACTCTGTTCCCCTTTCGGGCTCTGTCTTTACATTTATTTTGAAAGATGAAGCTCGCGATTATGGTAAGGGGCGTTACATTTCCGACGAGTGCTTGTGGTGTTCGGCCAATCACAATGCACTGGGTCAGCTGGCCAATCAGAGCAGACTGCGCTATAATAATGTACTTGAAAAATAATGTGTTTTTTGAACATTAAAGCATGTCAACATATTCTATTACACCAAATACACAAAATAATGATCTTTTAAAAAGCATCATATGACCCCTTTAATTGTTTCCCTAATTTCTGAAAACATCTGTTCTGAAACGCATTACAAAATATCAACTAATTTGTGATATTTCCTAATATTGCAAAAGAATAACTGATGTCATGTGACACCTGTATGTGACCCTCTTAAAACGTATTATGCAGTGTGACTTTTAGTTTAAGATACACTAAAGATCAAGTTAAAGATACAGTTTGTGATCCGTTAAAGTAGGCCACCTTAACAACACTTGTAAAAAAAAAAGACTACAGCTAAAACAAACCTTATGTTGATAAATTATTCTCCCCTGGAGAAGCAGAAAGTTGTTGCTTGAAGACATTTGCTTTTATACCATAAGCTGCAAGAATACAAATTGTGCTCTCGAGGGAGTAAGACAATGACATTCAGCGAGCGTTTGAAAATAAAACATGGAAAGATATTGCCTCAGGCATGGTCCAACATCAATGTGAGTTGAAAGTGAGTTGATAAACAGCTTGAACACTGCAGTGGCGTTTTAACATAAGAACACAAACATTTACAGATCCAAGACAAACACTAACTCATCTAATTAGTTTCTAACTAGCACTAGCTCTGCATTGCCACATCATCAATGAGAATTAACACTTGAACTATACAAACTAAACAAAAATATAAAATACTAAACAAAATATAAAACACTAAACAATACCGTGATCATTTTAACACACTTATTATTTGCCTTGTTGAAAATGAAAATGTGGAATAAAGTTGTTATTTTTGTTTTCTTTGCACAAAAAAAGTATTCTCGTAGCTTCGTAACTTTACAGTTGAACCACTGATGTCACACGGTCTACTTTGTCGATCATCTTGGTACTTTTCTGGACCTTGAGTTACCTTGCTGTCTATGGGAGAGTCAGAGAGCCCTCAGATTTCATCAAAAATATCTTAAATTGTCTTACGGGTTTGGAACAACATGAGGGTTAGTAATCAATGACAGAATTTTTATTTTTGGGTGAACTAACCCTTTAATAATTTTAACACATTATATTTTTCACTGTAATTAATTAATCTAATTAACGCGTTAAATTACCAGCCCTTATATATATATATATATATAAATAAAACATATATAAACATATATATAATATCAAAATGCATATACATATACACGCACACACACACACATACATACATACAAATATCAAAATGCTATAATAAAATGCATAATATATTTCAGCTTTATTTTTACCCATAATATCTTTCACAAACACTACCATACAAGCCCCTATATTCATTTCTACAAAGATGATTAGGACATGGGGTCAAGTCTGTAAGGATGAACACATGAAATCACCTTGCATCTGCCAGCATTGCCCTGACAACTGCCCAAGCTGCAACAAAAACAGCGGGAACACCTGAAATGAAACAAAGAAAGTGAAAGGTATATTTCAATGAACTGTATTTCATACACAGTGGCATACACAAAAATAATGACTCATAACTCAAAGACTATAGCAAGGAGAGTCAAAAGGTTGGTATCGTTTGATAGAAAACCTTCTGTACTTTCAGTGGAAAAAAATTATTTAATTTGGACATTCTCCTGCTGAGAAATAAGATTTTTGATGATGTTCCCCAGCATGTTAGCTGTATTTGTGTCAAATTTTGTGGTGATGGCATAAAGTATCCAAAAGTTACAGTATTTTGTAACAAAATAGGCCTTTTTGTTTAGCTCTTGACTCCCTGAAGGAATTTTAAAAACTGTTGTTTTCTGAGTGCCATACACAAAAATAATGACTCATAACTCCAAGACCGTAGCAAGGAGAGTCAAAAGGAAAGTATCGTCTGATAGAAATGTTTCTATATTTTTATGGGGGGAAAAAATCTTTGCATTTGAATATTCTCATGCTGAGAAATAGGTGATAAAATTTAAGAAAAATTAGTGTGGTCAAGGGAAATTTTTCATATCATTCTTATTTAACGTTCAATATCTCATGACAGGAATAAGGTAGAAGAAAAATTCTTTTTTTGGTGATGTTCCCCAACACGTGTGCTGTATGTGAATTACACTTTGTGGTGATATCATAAAGTAATCAAAAGTTACAGCATTTGGAACCAAGGTTGCCCTTCTCTTAGCCCTTTACAGTTTTGAAATTGTTGTTTTGAATTTGAAGTAATGCCTCACTCAAGTTTAGTCAAAGCATACATATGACACATGACTATCTGAGCTGTATGATATTTCTGACATATTAGAGTACATGGCACACAAAAAAACA